GGGGCTAGAGGGCGCCGCGAAACGAAGAAAACACGACCAAGATGGCGGCCGCGGCTCTACTCGCCGTATGGCAATTATCTCGACGGTGATCGGTACCCGTGGAAACTCTCGATCGCGACTTTTAACACGTCCTTTACAGAATGCCTTTGTCGACTTTGTCGAGGCCGCGCTCGCTCGTTCAACCCCCGATTGGGGGGCGGTCGCGGCCGGCGCCGGGGCAAGATCGATGTTCGTTAAAAAATTATAATATTATACGGCGTTCGTCTGCAGCGAAATATTCTCTCCATTATCGTGTCGCGCAACAATCCATTAACTCGGAAAATAAGAGCGGATGACAAAGCTTTTCTTTTATCAGGGAGAGGAATTACCGGGCCGTACCCTCGGTCTTCCTCGTAGTTGCTTACGAGGAAAGAAAAAGGAAGAGGGGTAGGGGAAAAGGGGAGGAGGAAGGGCGGGAAGAAGAAAAGGAAGAACAGGGGTGGAAAAAAGGAGGCGAAAAAGGGGGCAGCGAGGGAAAAAAAAGCAAAGGGGAACGTAAGGGAGGAAGAAGGAAGGAAGAAGGGAGAAAAGGGGGTGGAGAGCATGAAGAAGTTGGACGCGGAAGACCGGGGCTAAGCGAAAATATTGGTCGTAGTCGTTGGAGCGAAATCAAAGAGGAGAAAATCAATCCGGGGTCCACGGTGGGAAGTTAATGCGAATTAAAATCCAATTCCGTCGACGAGCGAACCCATTTCCAAACGTTGCGTCTTCGTGACCGGGGAAAACAGGAAGTTGGGCGGAGGGCGATGGGCAGAGCCGCGCTGCGGGAATTTACATGGGGCAAAGGGAAACGTTTCGCGCGGCGAGCATAAATATCTAATAAACGCACGCGCATTCGCCGGGCGATAAAATATTTTCCTCGCTGTCTCGTAAATATTTTTACACGTCTTTATCCCGTGCAAAGTGTTTTTCGGATTCCGACGAATCCCCGTACCACCCGGCCCGGTTGCCTCTCCGCTTTACGGTCTCTCGCCCCCTTATTCACCTTCTTCCGGATCCTCCTCCGCCGATCGTTGGCCGCATCCACGTCCGAGTACTTTGCGAAACGCACGCTGCGAACGCGTGGTCGGGTATTCATCGTCTTTAACGATAAGGACACGTTGCTTCTTTTAAAGGAATCAATTTTCTTCCTCGAGATTACGTCCATGGAGCAGGGACCGTTTATTTCGCTACGACTCTTCATAACGTAAAACGAGCACGTTTTCGAGGAGAGCCGAACAGCGATATCGTATGCCGGCTTTCATACAGTGAAAGAAGAATAAGAATAAGAATAAGAATAAGAAGAAGAAAAAGAAGAAGAATATGGTATCGGGGAAAGAGCGATATTTCATTTTCCATCGGCAAACGGTTTAAACAATGTTGCAAATCAAATACGAGATGGAAGAAAAAGCGTGGTCGGCGAGCGCCAGTCCGCTCGGCCACGTTGGCGCGATAGATCATGGAAACGGCGCGAGCAAAACGTGTTTCCAAAGTTAACGCTGTGGCGAACCGTGTATGGCTTCGCGAAGAAAATGACAAGAGAGTTAACGGCGTTGGAAAACGATGCAGAAGTTTGGTCGGCGGTGTGCGGGAAAATATCCTTGGGAAGCCGTTCCTCGTCTCCCCTTTTCCGCGAGAGCGGAGCATCCTGACTGTTTCGAGGAGGGCAGCGGCAGTCCACGCCCTCTTTCACTGCCAAAAGTTATTTCCGCTGGAAATTTATCGCTCTGCCGAGAATCGAGGCGTCATTTCCGGGCGAACGAAACAAAGAAAGCGTCGACCCGACTCGCGCGAAAGATAATTGGCGTGCCATTCTATCGTGTCCTTTTTCGCCCGCAGACCGTTCCCTTCTCCGCCGTAGCCACCCCCTGCAGATTTCTTTCCGGAAGAGCTATACGGTTGCGCAAGCTGACGATTGTTAAATGTACCTACGCCTCGGCTGATTTATTCCCCGGGGCTTTCGAAGCAGAGAAACCTGGATATTTATCGTCCCTTTCCGGCGTTGCGGTAAATAATGCGTTTGCTCTTTAACGCGATTTATTTCGAGCCCCGGCTGTAAGTATCGTATAACGTATTGTGCTTCTCCGCGATGTCGCGTCTGCGTTCGTACGTGGCAACGCGAGGGGAAAGGAAAAACCGAGGGCGAAAAAAGAAAGTGGAAAAAGAGGAAAATGAGGGAAGAAGGAGAGAGAGAGAGAGAGGGAGAGAGGGTGGAAAAAGGAAAATACGGTATCGCGGCGAGTTTTTGAAAGCTCCGTTGTGGTTATTGCCTCGACGACACAAATTGCGGCCGGACCGCGGTTCGCGAAATTTCATTCCGCGTTTTTCCACGCTTTGGACATTGTCACAGAAAGTATCCTCGTGGAAAGCCAATATCATGTAATTAAATTTTCGACGGTTTGAACAGAAAAGAGCAACGAGATTGCGTATGTGGTGTACATACGTGCATACTGTTGGGAGGTCGAGTGCGGGAAATTTTCGTGATCGATCAGATCCGCAGTCGGCCATTTCGTTTCGGTCGGCCGACAAAGAAAGTCGTTCGCGGGCGTCAGTCGATTGATTAATTAAAAAGTTGGAAGTGCCGTGTCGAGGAGCCGTCCTCGATCCGCGGCCATGATAACGCGTCCATTTCCGTTTCCTCTTTTCGTTCAGAGCGCGACATCGACACGCGATTCGCGCCCGGCGACCGGCCGTCAATTAAATTTAATTGTTCGGCCAACTTTTGTCCACATGGCCGAAGGAACGAGACGGAAGAAGCCGTCAGAGTTCTCCGACGTTTGGTTGCACGTTTCGCCACGTTTTCCCTACGAGTATTCATCCGCCGCGAGATGGAGTCGATCGCACGCGGCGATAAAATGGCGGCCGAAGACGCGGACGAATGTATTTAGTTCGCGTAATATAGATTCGAAACGGGCTGGAACGGGCTTCGATTCGCGGAATTTCGCGGCAAATTCACCGGTATTATTAATTTTCCATTGCGTCGAATCCTTAATAAATTTCGATTATATCATGCACGGTGTTTTACGACACTGGCGTAACGAAACGCGCTGAAATTGAACGAAAAGTGGAAAGTTACAGGGTAACCACTCATGAAACTTTGTTACTTTGCCATTGAAATCCGTGGCCCGGCAGCAATTCCGCGATACATTGTCAAAAGTTTCGCCCGACGAACGTAATTAACGATCGTCGAAGTTCACGATTTGTTCTCCCGATCGAAACACAAAAAGCGAAAGAGAGCGAGCGAGAGTGAGAAAGAGGAAGGAAGAAAGAGACGCGGAGCTGGAAGGGTGGCCTCACCGGGATCTCGCCCTTGGCCCGTCCCTTTGGCCAGGACCTTCGTCGTATCGGGAATCGCCTAACGAGTCGGAAAAATCAAGCCTCCTTTGCCGGGATCGCCTTTGGCCTCGCGTAATACATGTCTAATTAACCAGAAAAATAACGAGATTTTAGTGACCGGTTCCCCCCGAACGAGCATCGAAATCGATTTCCCGATCGTATCGGGAAAAATCCCACTCTCTCCCTCCGTAGCGAGGAAAACGTCTCGAATTATGACTCTTTCTTCCCGGCCCAAGTCCGTGGTAATTTCATGCCTCGCGTGTTTCGTCGCCAAGGCAAAGAGCCGGTGATTTACGAAGGATAACCGACGGCAAAGACGGATCGGATAAGCAACCGTAGAAACGAGACGCGTGCGTGGTAGGTAGGAGACGAGACGAATCGGCGAGAGACGACGTAATGGGAGGAAAGGAAGGAAATCTATCGGCGACAGCGATCAGCCGCCGGTGGAAAATCCTTTACATCGGCAAACAGCGACGCTGGGCGGAGGTTTTCTTCGGTGGACGAGAGGTCGAGGTGAAATTTGAAAGGCGAAAAATCGATGGCACTCGGGAAACGGTTGTTCGGAGCGCGGCCGAAAGTTTAGCAAATATTCCGTCACGTCGGGTCCGCGATGTTTGTTTAGCATCTTGGATTCTTGCCCACCTCGAGCCGCCTCATTAAGCCCGAAAATAATACCCCGAGAGTAGCGGTGGTCCTGAAATAACGACAGAGGAGGACGGAAGAGCCAGGATTCTGTCGCGAAGCTTCGGCAAGATAGCGAGTGCCCGGGAAGGGGTTGTTGCTAAGCAGAGGAAGAGGGACTAGCCGGAGGGTGCGACGTCAGATTTGTCTCGTTAGAGTTCGCATTGTGTCTGCCTATGGCCGATTTACGCTCTCTCGTTATAGTCGTTCGCCATCCTTCTCCGTTCCATCCTCGAACCCTTGATACCCTTCTTTTCCATCTCGCTGTCTAACGAGCTTCCATTAAAGCCACAATGCGCTTCTCTTGCTCGCTTAGCGATTCCTGCCACTCCGTATGACGCGGTCTTCCGTCCTATCGGCCCGACGACTTTCTCTTTGCCGTCTTTCTTGCCAACCGTTCTGGATATCTCCAGGGATAGTCGATCAACGCGACCACAGAGAATGCCTCGAATTTCCGGCCGAATTTTAGCCGCTGCGGTGTTTCGTAGTTGACCGATCCTCCGCCGAGACGATCGATCTTTCGGCAAGAAAGCGTCGTTAGGGAAGATCGATAGACCCCCATCGAAAGTTTCTTCCTGATTGCTCTCGGTGTACGCGAAACGGGTAATTTGTAATTCAGCTGATCTCCGGCTGCGATGTTTCTCCGCAACTTTCAGCTTGCCTCTGTTTAAGGGATCTTTGGAGGGAAGTTTATAGGTAGGTGGTTTATCGAGACGTCCGCTCTCTGTTATCAGGTAAAAATTCGAATCCCTTTGAAACGCGGATCTCCTTCTAAACGGTCGAACAACGAGTAGGAAAGATTCTTGGGGATTGTCGGGAGAATCCGTTGACCGACGGTGTAACGATCGATCGGAAAGACGTGCCTAGGGACCAGCGAAAATAAACGATATTCTAATGGAAAAACCGCACGGATTGCCGAAAAGAATTTTCTCGTTTCTCAGCGAACGATTTTCTGGAAATTTCAGCGAGCTCCCCGGAGCCACGTACGTGCCCGTACTTGGGCAAATTTACGGTGACGGGGGTGAACCGGAACCAACGGAACATCCGTGAAAGCCGAAGGAACCAACACCAGGAGGGCGTGAGGCGTGACAGAGAAAAAGTTCGACACGCCCAGGAACGAACCCAGGAAGATCGACGTGGCCGGAAGCTCGACTTCGACGCGGAGAAACGCCGGGCGAACAACGAGTACCTCGTCCACGAACGAATGGGCAGGCGCGCCAGATCCAACCGTAACAACCGAAACCATCGCGATCACAGCCTCGAGGAAGCGTCCTCGAAGCGTACGCTGGATATCGAGGACCTGCTGCGAGACCGTTCGAGATCGATCGAGAGTGCATCCAGGTCGAAAGTCAGAAGAACGCACGAGCCCGCCAAGCGTTCCGTTAATATGGCGCAGCGAGCCAGCAATAGGTCGAGAAGGAGCCCGAAGATGGAGGACTTCCGGGTGGACGCGGACGATTTCACGCGAATCAGGCAATTCTGGACCAGCGATTTCGACGATCCGGATGGCTCGAGCATCCTCGAGGTTCAGGAAGATTATTTCGGCGATTACCCGGACAGCGCTGATCTGCCGAAAAAGAGGTCGGGCAGGGACGAAAGAGAAACGACCTCGAGCCTCGTCGTCGCGAGGACCAAGAGGAACGTCGAGGAGCTGGATCCCGATGACGGCTCTTTGGAGAGACGCGAGAAGAGGGAGGAGGATATCTCCAGATGTAGCTCCGAGGTTACCACCATTACCATTGGCTGCTCCACCGCTGATAGAATGGAATTCCAGACGGACTGCGTCGAGGACAACGCGATCGGTGAGTAAAACATTTCAACTCGATCGCGATATCGAAGACGATATCCCAAGTCCGGCTCCGAGAACGCGTAATCCGTTCGTCGATACTGGAATCGCGGAAATTATCAGCGGTACTCGTCGATCCGGCGGATAATTAAAATCGCGTGGACGATAGAGCTCGCGTACGCGAATCCGTCGGTATCCCCTCGTCCGTAGCAGAGACGAGCTTTTATTTCGCCGACATTCAGCCCCAGTCGGGAAGGTCGTCGAAGTTTATTTAAAGGATAATGGCACTCGAGGGTTAACGAGCGACTCGAGATACCTCGCCGCCATTATTCGAGAAGTTGGTTCCGTGAGAGTGCCGAGGGTAAAGAAGTCGTCGCTTTCTCTTTCGCAGCTTACTCCTGCCACGGTAGGTGGTTCGACGCGGAGGGCACCCAATTCGTGATCGCCACCCAACTGGCACCCGGGACTAGCTGGTCCAGCGAGAACAACAGGCCGCAGCCGTACAGGAACAGCCGAAGATTGTGCTTCATGTACAAAGAGAGCGGTGGTGTTGTCAGTTTGACTGCCAGCGAGGTGGCCTGCCAGAGGGGAATACCTCCGCCACCGCCGATGTTGGCCTTCAATGCTACCAGTACCGGTGAGTACCTCCTCCTTTCCTTCAGCCACTTCACTCTCGAGGATCCTTACGGTCTTGGCTGCCGTGCCGAGGACGCGTCTCCGCTGCAACGAACCTAACAGTTTTGTTCCGCGACTACCGCCGCCTCGCGAATCTTCCTTCGTTCCAGCACTTTGTCTCGAGATTTAGAGGCTACGGGACGACCGGAGGAGCATTGTCGAAGGAATTAGTCCGCTTTCGCCACGCTCCTTTTTCCCCTCCTTCCGCTATCTTTTCCCTACCATCCTATACCCTTTAATCTCGCGCCAGACGCGTCACGCGAGTTTACGCGTTCAACTTTCGTCGAGATGGCCGTTTAACCACCCCAATTATGATTTTTCGACGATCGAAACGCGCGCGTAACTTGGTCGTTGAAAAAGCACGTCTCGCTCGTTTCTCAATTTGTTCCGCGTTACCAGACCGTTCAGCGCCGTTCCTCGTGCTTCAACTCCGAGCATCCTCGGAACTTTAACCGTTATCTTGTCACTTCGCCGAGGATCCTTCAGTTTTGTTGCCCCCTCGCAGCTTCGTTTGCCGCGGCGTTTCGCTCCCGAGCGAGTCGGCCACGCTTATCGAGAGAGCTACCGATTTGCTTTTCAAATACGCCGCGACGAGTCCGGGAACAGAGGAGTGTTGTCCTTATTTCGTTCCACGACAACCGTGGAAAATATCAAAGTTACGTTCGCTCCTCGTCCGGGAAACGTTCGACACTGAACATTGGAGGTCGAAGGTCCTCGTGGAAACTTATCGCGGCTGTCTGGGTGGAAAAAGAGACGGGGCGGCATCGGCGGGCATTCCTTTGGCAGCGGAGAATGCATTTTGACAGCGCGACAGACTGCAGTGTCCAATCAAAATCGTGGCGTCAGCGATTGTCATCCGGCGCGTCAGTTAAATTCTGGTAGCAGATGGTGCGCGACAGCCATGCATAATTTGCCGCGACACGTAGACGACTTCACCTGACAAATGTACTGTGACAACTCGTTGATAAATGTCGAATTAAACGGCGCCACTTTACCCTGTCGATGTTTAACCTGGCATAAGAACGATCGTGCTTTTGTGCTTGCAGGTCAGTGCATGGAAGAGAACAGGGGCTTTGCTACTCGATCGACGTACCTGATGATCGTCAGCCTGACGGCGATCGTCGCGATATACAGGTGATTCTAATCGAACGGACGACGATCTCGCGACCGTTAAAAATCGACGTTTGTAATCTGCGTTACTGGACACCGTGTGCGGGTGACGAAACGGAGGTGGTACACGTGTATAAAAAGAAAAAAAAAAAGTATATATATAAATATATATATTATATATAATCGCCTTTGGCGCGAGTCACCGAACATGATCGGTCGAGCGTCCGGGCCAACTAGAAGGGAGGAACACGGAGGAAGACGGAAAGGAACAATCGATACTTTGGCTTCGAACGCTCGTGTCCGTAGCTCCTGCTAGCCTCTCTGATCCGTCGGGAGAAATTCGTGCTCGCACGACCACCGGAATTTTGTCGCGGAACGAGACACGGAGAAAAAGTAAGGGACGAAGAAGCCCGGCGAGGGGTGGAGCCGATAAGTAAACGAGAGGAGCGTAAAATCGAGGCTCGAGCAGAGCGGACTGTCGGAGGTCGATGCTCGTTCCAGCCAAGAGGGATAGTCCCTGGATTCGATTCGATGCCGAAGAACGAAAAATAAAGTCGCCTATGATAAAGAGACAAGAGGCAAAACTCTGATTTCTTCCGTGTAAGAGGTGCTCCTCCAGATCAGCGGGAAAATCAAGCAGGCTGAGGACGCGGAAGAGAAGATGGAACGTGGTTGAAGAAGGAGACGGATCCGATCGAGATGAACGGTTTAGAGGCAGCAAGCAGGAAGGGAAGATGGCAGGAAGGGAAGAAGAAAGAAAGGAAGGAAGGAAGGAAGGAAGGAAGGAAGGGTATTACTCGTCGAAGGGAATTTTTTCTCGACGATGAGAAAGGGAACTGTTTGTTCCTTCCAGGGGAGTGGCGTAGTAAGGAGAGAAAGTGGAATCGTGAAGATCGAACGCGAATTTCCCCTGGCCAGTAGGTTTTTTACCGATGTAGCTCGTAGGCACTAGCTAATTAAAAATCGGGTAAAGCTAACAAAGTAATTACACAAGTTTTTATGGTTAGACCATATCACGAGCGAGATCGCGGCGCACGATCGATCGGATTCTTTAGCGAGAAAAGGTGTCGAGCGAGGAGGAGGACGGGATCGATTGCCTGCCCGGAACAATACGGGGAAGAGGAAGCAACATCTCGTTTTAGTTAGTAAGACGATCGACCGGCACAGGTCGTTATCTTTTAAGGTAGAAACTACATAGAGCATAGCTTTAATAAGGCGCGAGAGGGAACAGGTTACTCGGCAAATATTTTTTACACCGGATGCTCCTTTCTTTCCACGACCCTACCGAGCGTGTACCGTAAGTGGGTGTACCGTGTATTTTATATTACCAGTTTGGAGAGGAAGCGAAACCGCGTGTAGTAGGACAGGGACGCGGTGTCTGCCTGTGTCTCGAAACATCAGGGTTCGTCGTTGCTGAAGCGTTTGGCCAGCTTTTTAACCGCGACAGTGTATCGATTATCGAGGATAATTTGGAAATTGCTGAATTAAAACAACGGCCCCGCCGTTTGCTCCGCGTTTAATCCAATCGCGAAAGTATCAGTGTTCCAGCAAACCGGAAGATGATTCTCTGTCCTCCAACAGGTTTCGAGCCAATCGAGGAAGCCCGCGGCGGGATTCAATTACCACACGAAATATTAGTAGACGTATTAAAGGTTGATTGCACTGTAGCTGTTATGTAATAGCTGCAAAGGGCTATTAACCGTGTTATAGCTGAATATATGCCGTAGCTATTATATAATAGCTGTAATAGCCGCTAGCTGTATTAATAACCGACCGACGGGGAAAAACATATTTCAAAGCTTCCGGGTTAACTGCGTTATTTTTCTATTGTACGACGAGAAAAAAAAAAAAAAAAAAAAAAAAAAAAAGGAAAAAAGGGGGAGGGGGGAAACGCGTCGCTCGTCCACGATGTTTCGAGGACCGGACAAAACGATCGATGCTTCGGATTTATTAAACGCACCGAATATTCTTGCCGAGTAAAACGTTTCGTTCCGTTAGAACGATGCGCGAATCGATGGAGGAAATTGACACCGACACGCGTGTAGAAATAGGTGTGAAAAATTGCGCTAATGAGCTGACCGGACGCGACACGATCTATCGTGTACTAGGATGATTTGGCACGCCGAAGAGCCAAGAGCGAGGGTGCGAAGTGAAGGAATCAGAGTCGGCCATTTCTCCGTCTTATTTCGCCGGGAATAATTATCGCCAGAGTGTGTGGTTGGAAAATAGTTGTTTTCGGGTCATCGAATAATTCATATCGCGCCCCTAATAATTCGTCGCGTCGATTTCATATTAACCCGAACTATCCGCGTATAGAACGGCCGTTCCAGCGATCGTCATGGATTCTGCATGGTTAAACAGAAATGTCGCGCCCGATGATAAATTTAATATAAATATTTCTGGTATTTCGAGAACATCGCTATTTCGACGATTCAATTAACTTCCATCGGGGCAATGAACAATGATGGGCAATTTCAAAGCGGTGTTAAAATTTATTTCATCGCCACTCGCGGAATATCAATGTTCCTCGAACAGGCTGCATTTTAACGTTTGCGAACGTTAATCGATTTCTATGAAGAGCTATAGTTTTTCCCCGCTGTTACCAGCGAAATCAGGTTACAGCCCCGGATACGCGCGTGCAGCGTTACACGAAAATAAATCGACGAAAACGAATTATCTCGGTCGGGGTATCTCGCGGAAAGCTCCTCTCATTGAGTTCTCTCGGAGGGAGACGAAGGATGATCCGGGGGTGGGAAAATGTCGGCAGACAAACGGCGGGCGTACGTGTGTAAAGTGTAAAATTGTAACTGTGATGGATTTTCCGGCCCGTTGTACCGAGTCGCACATCGGGAACGTTCCTCCCCTCGCATCTCCGTTCGCGCGTTTGTTCCGGATTGTTCGTAATTTGCCGTTGACTCTGATTCTTCCTCGCTGCGATCTTGGTCGTTTTCATTTTTCTTTGCCGAGCGTCGACGGGTCCGGTGGAAAAATTCCTGCCGGAGAAATTCCCCGGCAATTATTCACGCGGTGGTTTATGGGTCGGTTGGGTCGGGATCGAACGAGCGAAACGCGGTATCGGGAATAACGCGAGACAAATTGGCCACTTGTTCGACCCTTATCAGGCCAAGGGTGAGGAAAGGAGAGAAAAAAAAAAGAGAGAGAGAGAGGAAGAGAGGGGGACTGCGATGGGAAATTTTATTAAAGAGGTGGAAACTCTCGGAGACCATCGGTGGCGCCGCGTTGGCGCGGCGAATCAAAATGAAATTCACCGTGACAAATGTCGGAAGGATCGGGATATATCGCGTGATTTACCGAACGGGCCGCGTTCCCGATCCTCGATCGCGCGCAAACATCGCAGACGATATGGTTTCCGGTATGCCGGAAGAATCCCATGGCACGCCGTGTTTATTTAGACAGTCCGGAGACGATGGAATTTTTCCCCGGTGCTCGGAGGCGCGCACGTTAACGTAAGCAATAAGCAATAAAGTCACGCAACGGCTCGGCCGTGTACACGAAAGATGTTGCGTTTCACGAGAGGAGAGAGAGGCTGTACCGGAGAGAATCGCGACGTTATGCCAGAGATGTTCTATTATATTGGTTTGTCCGATCGGATTTTCGCGAGGGCGAGCGAAAAATGAGAGAAGAGAGCGAGCGAGAGAGAGAGAGAGAGAGAGAGAGAGAGGAGAGTGGATACAGACCGATCGATCGCGAGATAGGACGCTACGATATTATTGTAACTAATACAGAGTCTATATTATATTATTGTACAAGCATCTTTGTAATAATTAACCCGAACCGAGTGACGAGAGGAAACGAAAGAGGAAGACGAGCAATGAGGCACGATAGAAGATTACGCAGCAATGGTGGACGTTACGAGACACGGCGAGAAAGAGAGAGAGAAAGAGAGAGCGCGCGAGAGAGAGAAAGAGAGAGAAAATGAGTAAAAGAAAAAAAAAAAAAAATAGAAAACGAGAAAAAAAAAATGGGGGCGAATAGAGAGTGAAAAATAAGAAAAGCCAATCGCTATTTTACCACTTTTCCAATCGCGGTAAACGTAGTTTTTACGCCGTTCGACTTTCATTCGTGTTCATCTTTTACGACGCGGACGAAGATGGGCCTCTGATCCCGGAAAATTCCGCTCCGTGGGAAAATAAACGCATCTTTCACACCGCGGATTCGAATACCCCCCGGATTCGTCTCTCATTTCTATTGGCATTTTTCGTTCTTCCCCTGTCCCCTTCTCCTTCTCTGTCCTTTCTTTTCCCGCGTTGTCCTCGCGGCAGGATCAACCCCTAACCTCGAGACGGGGCAAAGATATTCCGGCGCCGTCGGTACCCCGGGTCTACGCCGCGATGGTTTCGAGTACGAAAACGCTCTCTCAGGAATGAGCAACGCGGTAACTAGCGAGGCAAAGAAGAGGCCTGTCAGCGTGGACGTGCTTTTTCGTCGAGAGGAAAATATCGAAGCGTGGAAGAGAAAATGGCGGCGCGACGTGCGGAAAAATGCGGTGGATCAAAGGCTCCTCTCTCAGAGGCGTTCATTTAATCGAGCGAAAGACGCTCTCCTTTTCAGGGTTCTCGGAAGAGAGAAAGATCGATCGACTTTCGTTAGGCTTCTCGGCAAGTACCTTCCAGACAAGTCACTTACCGCCGTTGCGCGCGGAAAAAGGCGGATCAGCGAGCCGCGAGGCGTCTTTTCCGTTTTCCGTTTCGTTCCCCCCTTTTTACCCTCGTTTCGTTCGTTTCCTCACCGGACCCGTAGAACACTTAGCGGTTAGGACTTTTAACGATTAGCACCTTAGATGCCGTACTGTACCTACGAGGATGCAGCGTATTTAGCATAACCTTAAGGTGAAACATAGCGATTAAGGATTACTCTAGCTTCATAGGGGTAATAAGCTCATTGTGACAGCAATCAGAGATGCCCCGCGGTCGAAACGCGAACACAGGAACCTTTTTTCCCGAACTAGAGCACGTATTTCGATCGCCCATCTCGCGTCTGTCGTGCACTTCTTGCGAACAGTCTCGA